TCCAATTGTGTCGGATGACGCTACATGCGCTTCCTTTGCCAGATCCGGTGGTAAGTTGCTGCTATTCCTGAGAACGCTGATACCTTCCTTCAGCTGAAAAGTTGAACGGTCAATATATCGAAAAGTGTAAAAGGATCACTAGAAGCGAGGAAAACGGATTAGAAAAAGTCATGTTATTTTCATCACTCTGAATTTCAGTTTCTGCTCAAAACACAAATTTAACTGTCAGGTGGTGGATTATCTGCACCACTGGTTTCGTTTTCTATTTGTACGCATCGGCATCTCGGCACCATATTCTCTGACCAGAACTGGAACCCTAAGGATTGAAACACCTTATGCCTAACGTTTTCTATATGATATTAACCATAATTGAGATTATTACAGAGTAACAGGCATTCGCCGTTGTTCTGACTCAAACATCCCGTTCAGAACAGAAAACGGACCACCGCACAGCCAGGTGCAACCTGTAAAGCAGCAGGGTTACTCCAGACGACCCGTGGGCCTGTTACGCACTCCTCACTCAGTTTAGATGAAGCATGAAAGCAGCAGTAGCCTTATTATATGACGGGAAGCGCACGCCTCGCCAGTGCGCTTTATACATCAAGGTTTGTTCTATAGTGCTCGAGCGTTCAAAAAAGCATCTGCTGCCGCTAGTTTAGTGAACTTACTAGATCGACTCCCTGTCCGCTACCTAGGGACGGGTCTGGTTGAAGCGAGCTCTTCTTCCAGGCGCTTTATTTCACAGTAAAAGACGTCATTGTACGATTCGATCGATAGACGCAAGGCATGCTAATTGGCTTCTGGAAAGCCCGTCGGCACTGCAACAGCTAAGGATGAAGGACTGACTCATCCATCCACGCCTGGCGCGTAGCCCTGCGGACTCGCTAGTTATGAGAGTGAGAAGGGTGACACTATTGGAATGAGCTTTAACCTTTGTAGTGGCCAAAAACATTATGCGGACTATCCAGAACTTTGAGATCAAATGTTGGATCGGTTCGCATCTTTATGAGTCTCTAAAGTGCATCTCTGGTCAGAACGGATGAACTGTCATTATAAGTAATGAGACGTTCCATAACTTGAATTTTCTCGCGAACCTCCGTCTCAGGTGGATCAGTAGAAACAAACGAAATGACGAGCTGACATACCTTTTGCAATTGGTGCTGGAACTAGATACCTTACCTGCGCTGTACTTTCTAACTAGATGGTCACTGATTGATTACAGCGCAGTCCCAGAGACTTCAGCAGTTGTAACGCATTTCTGAAAGTACACAGACCCGGAACACTTGCCGTTGACGCGAATTCTGCGTCATTCTGAGACCAGTTCTGCATCATGGTTGGGAACTTCATTTTGCTCGTAGAAGACATGCATATCTCCGCAGATCATTGAACACGTAGTTCGGCGCAGGTAAGATGGAATGAGTGGGTTAGGAGCAATGCGGTAAGCCAAAGTGTTTGAAATGGCTTGACGTGTCGACCATAGAAATTTATTTTTATCTTCAAAACACGTCTAGTCATCCACTACCCTGCACAGTTGTCGTAAAGTGATGTTGATAACCACCATAACACAGGAGTTTCGTGGGGGTAGCAACACCTGTTTGAATAACTGGAATGCTACTACTACTACTATCACTACAGCACAATATAGGACTGATCACAAGAGATAGGTTTTTTGTAATAGCAAGCTCTAAAAACAGAGAACGGAGTTGATATTCTGGTTGACCTTCAAGATACGGTAAATTTGCGAAACTGTCGGCTTACCTTCGCTCGCAAAGATTCATTTGATTCGAGTAGGTGGAGAACTTCCGCATTTTCCACTCCGAGCAGCAGCATACCTGTCAACTTCTTTGCTAGCGCCGGATAAATTTCTTGCACGAGTGGGAACAGACGCTCTCCCAGAACACGCTTTTGCTCATCGTCCGATAGTTGCGCCAAAGCACTGATAGTCAATGTATTCTGATCTCCTAGAGGAGCGAGGACCGTGGACATAGGTGGGGCCGGAGCAGGTTGATTGGCCACATTGCGCGCAGTTTGATTGAAACGCACATTACCCGGTGCTCCCGCCATACCACCCATTCCTGGGTGCATGACACCACGTGGTACTTGGGGTGCCACAGGCTGTAGAAATGATGTAAACCAAAAATGAGTTGAAAAATCATACATCTTTATTTAATGAATTCGAAGAATGGTTAGGTCAAAAAACTACGCTGAACAGGTGACTTCCTAGGATGTTTTCACAATAAAAAACTACTTCACGGTTTTTCGTTGACCAGTTTGATCCACTACTAGCGAGCCACTGAGTGAGGTTTTTTAGATCAATGGTATCCATAGGTTGACGAAATATCAGTTCAACAGAGTAAGAAATTCCTCGGCGATTAGGCGTACGAATAGCGTCTCAAGACATACGATCAAAATCACGGCATTGCGGGACACAGTGAAGCGAATATCACTGATCACCGCCAAAATCATAATGCATATAAGTGAGAATGCAAGTAGCATAGAGATTAGGCCTAAATGGGGGAACGAAGAACGTGAACCACTATGGTGCAGTCCAACTGTGCATACACGTTTTCAAGCAATCAAGTTTGATACGAAGTGAAGTGAAGATCGCCACTTCTGTCAGTTTGCCCCTCGTGTCCGTCAGTGTCTCGGAATAACAAGTTAGCCTTTTGGCTTCAGTTTCAGATTTTACAATCCAATAACCATGCAATTTCGTGCGTCGGTTTCGGTTGCTGTCTTTTGGCCGCTCATTTGAACAAAACAGCGGAATGATTGGAATGTTAAGCAGATCCAAGCGGAAGATAGATAATTCATTTAAACTGAGGTTGTGAGAATAATGAGATGCACTAATTGGATAGGGTTTCCATACCCTTGTGCGGGGTCTTTGTCTGACCACCTTTGACCTTTTTCCAATCGCTACCTCGCTCGGCAAACATCGCTCTCCGTGGCGACCTACTTGGACCGAAATCCAGATCAGAAATTCTAAATCTTCCTGTGTAGTTCTTTATACCTTGTTCCGATTTGTTTCCCTCAACGTGGTTTCATCTTGTCTGGAGCACTTACCGCAAAGAGGGTACAGGGCGGTAAGCGATCATCAGACATACACAGAACGTGTCCTAGTCACTAACATCCAATGACGTCTAGGTCACCAACCTGCTCACTCTATCGCACCTGGGTCAGACTACTTAAGTATCGATTGTCGAAAACCACTAGGCGATGGCTGCCTACACGTAAATTGTCCCAAATGCGCAAAGCAGCAGCGCAATAAACGCGACTTTTCAATTTCAATGAAACGTCATGCCGTCGCTAACGGTGTTTTAGTCTTGCTACTTGAAAATTGAAAATGCGTAAGGTCATCTCCTTTGATGCGCCAACGCTGTTGGTTGGCAGGTACGAGCAGTCAACTGCAGCCAATCCCTGCCTATTTGGTTTTAGAACGGGACTCGGCGGCACCCAGTCTTGCAGCATCATTTTGCAAAGCGCATGCGAACTTTGAGTGTCCTCCCCAAATTCACACAGACAAACGTCGTCAGCGAAGTGGCGTACAGCTTTTCTTAAGCTATCCACTCAATACAAAGAGTTTGGAGACCACTTGGGGAACGAAGCTAGTGACTTATCAGAAATTCAATGCCTGCAACGGACTTGAAGCTGAGATCTACAAGCAAAGTTCGTTCCGTAGTGTAACGCCCATCCAACCTGATTCAATTTTCCATGTACACTACCACGCTGTAGTGCTCTTAACTCATGCTGTACTTTTGATTCACAAAAGTTACCAACGGAGCCAGATAAGCGATGGCCTGCTAATCGAGGTGATTTTTTGGCAACCAGTGAGTCGGAGGGAACCGTATAAAAAATAATGCGCGATCAGAATCAAAGCAATTGGGTCTATATTGTACTCAGTCATAATCATCATTGACAGCAAAATACGGTGAAGCTAACTTCACTGATCGCTGTCAAACTCACAATGTATACAAGGTCAGTGGTCAAATTCCAGGTGGACAGGGACTGGACCTACTTTGAGGCGGGGGAAGGTGGAACTCTATGTTCAACACAGTGCACAATCGAACTCTGCATACATACCGTTTCATACATTCTGGCCTAATATGACATGACAACAAGAACGCCACTGCTGTCGGTTCGCTGCCATATCCTTCAAGGTCTCCAACGAACTAATTGCGGGGTCTTAACATGGAAGGCGCGAAACACCTGTTCTACTTAATAAGTCTGTGCATTTCTCCATGCCTCTTCTCCACGTCATCTGTTAACCTCCACGTGGTTTCCTCCAGCCCGGAGCGGCTACAGCGAATAAGGTACTGTGGTAGTCGGTAGCGGAGCATTACATGCCTTAGTCAGCGAAGTCTACTAATCTGAATTCGATTTGCTAGCAGATTTATACCCGATGGACTTACTAGCACACGACGGCCTACCTCCAGATTAGTGACCCGTTCGCTTAATCCCAAGTGGGCAAAACTACGTTAAAAGATAGTCGAAAAACTGGTTGATGGACATCTACTCGAAAATTCAAGGTTTCACAAGCGTAAAGCAGGATTGAACGAACGCCAGCGCAATATACGAGACCTCTTAACTTTAGCGAAACGTGGAGTCTACGTCAAGGGTGTTGTAGTCATGGGCCTTGGAAATGCGAATGGCTATCTCATCGGATATCCGGTGCCTCCGTCGGGCTTGAGGCTTAGACCCACAAGCAACATTCGCTGCGGAGAGCATTGCTCACCTAATCTGATTCCACTGCTCATCTACATCACCAGGTTAAGAGGCACTTAGGTCACGCACTAGCTCTGATTCAGCGTGCAACAACTTTGGGGACCGACAGTCGACGATGAGCTATCCGAGTTTGCTGGTTTGTCGTCAACCAGTCAGTGGTCAGAATCAACGCAGGTGATCCAACAGGACCTGCAATTTTTCACTGAGTCACACCAACGGTAGCTCACTACTATATGGTTGATTTGAATTAGCGTATCAGTTGAACTGGAGCGCCACATTGCCGTTCGTTTACAACTGTCGGCAGTTTGTACTAGACAATAACAGTTTCAGCATCAGTTTAGTTTGTACAACCATTAACAATGCACTGCAGTGTGCTGGGTTTGTTTGCTGTTTTTTGGCTGGACATTAGGAGGAAGACAGGAAAGGTTAAAGTAGGATCAAAGAGAAAACTTAGAATATCAATGGACTAATGTTGCAGAGAATTCGACAAGATGCACAAACGCCACTGTTTACGATACTCAGACATATCACTCGGTGTCTCTAACCATCCGGCACGATCATTTCGAGGTCCCCAACCAAGGAGTCTAACGGGACCTATTTGACTCAGACTCCTGCCCCGGTGAACATCGCTCACCGTGGCAACCTATCTAGTGACATGCGCAACACACGCTTCAAACAACGTTATCTATAGGGGTCGACCATTTGCTCCAGTGATCGACTGCATTTAACCAAAACTGCGCCTAAAATCAGCATTGCTCGTCCGGCTGCCCCACCAGATCCGTGCAATGCTGCGAAGATAAAGGAACAGATGGTCTGCGTGGAACTAAAGAAATCGATCGCCGCTATCTAGTCGTAGGCAGGGCAGAGCATAACGACCGCATGGGCAAGCTTCTGATGAGCTGTTTTCTAACTTGCGCGTTAAAATCACTTGCAAGTATAATTGTGTAGGCGCCTCGACTAACTGGAATGAGTTCATCAAGTTTATCGTAGAAAGTCCTTTTGTGTATCAGAAGTGCAATTGATTGGTGCATACGCCTGTAGGCGTTGCTTCTTCTCTGGACGCTGATGAAACCCTGGAGGCGCTTCGCGCATAAACCCCTATGGACGGAGATCCCATCGATGAGAGGACTCAGTCCCGCTGCTGAGTACCATACCTAACCCGCATTGACCTACTGCTTCGTCGTCGCCCTTTTTTACACAGGTGTAATGAACAGCAGATGGGGCGAAACCCAGTCACGAAGACCCATCGTTTAGTGGTGTGCGAAGAACTTATCTTGAGGACAAGTCCGGAGATTATGGCAGCAGGATCCTGAATTTGAGTCTCCGATACGCAGAAAATATCGATCCCCAAGGGTTGCAGTGTACGTACTAGACAAGCTTGTTAACCCACCTGCGTCAGGGTCCTCAGGTGAGAGGCACCCATATTCAGTGATTGACGAGGCTCTAGAACCCATATCGTGGTACTTTGTTCAGTGTTATTTGGCAACGACCTTAGGCGAGCGACAACCAAGTTGCTTGAGGAACTATTACAGGTAGGAACAGAGAATGGAGAGGACTGGGCACAAAAGACAGGGTTAAACTAAGGTTGGGATATCTGTGCAGTAGCCCATTTATCACTACCCACCCCGCTCGATGCAATGGGCAACGCGACCCTGATTATCTAGTTTGTGTATGCATTGGGGTTTGATGAACAGGTACTGCTAGGATGTCCAGCCACTAAGCATGAGAACGATAAGGGTTCTTGTCCAAAGCCTTTAGTTCTGACAAGAACCTAACTGCAAAGCACCGGGTGAAGCGGAGTGGATGCCCATTAACTTGAAGCGATTACTCCTCCATTGTTTTTAACCGACTGAGACGCCAAATTTACTGCAACTCGCAACCTGAAGGAACAAGATTGGACTTTGTCTGACCCATGGACCTTGGTGACAAAGTGTACCAATGCACGATTATCGACAAAAATGATGAACTATTTCAACTGGGTTATCATGACTGCTACAGTGGGTGAGCGAAAACTTATTCTCATGATTTTCAAACTCCACGGCCAGGGGAGCAGTTTGAGCCTACCTGATCTTACCGGCCGTTATCAGCATAAAGCTTTGTTTGTTGAAACATCGCGATGTAGTCAATCTTTCCTCTTCATCATTGATCATACTATGCCCCACGTGACAGACGGATTTATAAGAATAAACATGGTGCAGGATTGATTCTGCGTCTACTTTATTCCTATGCATATGGGTGAAGTTTTTTACAATTCACGCTGTATTGGACTACAGAAAGATTGAATCTGTTGCGTACACCTATTCAGTGATAGAAACCGGTTATCGATGCCCCGAAATTCGAACACAAAACACCAATAAGTTAGGTGTAGTATTCAACCAAACGACAATATTGCAGCCTGCCACCCGTGTTCCATTACTCTGAAGTGTCGTTGGTAGACAACGAAAGGAGAATCTGCTAACGAATCATAGGTGAAGACTAAGCCATCCCATTTTGTCAGTTTAGGCTGTTAGCTCAATATGTTTCATATCACAATAGTTTTGAGACTACTTTAAATGTCAGTGGGAAACTCCAACCACAAAACCACGTGGCGAGTTGTAATCAACACCAACAGACCAGTCTCCGTACAGAACTGGACAACAAAGCTACCTGTTACTTTATCTGGGTTGCAATGGGAAGGTTTGGTCTTCTAACCTCAGAAAAACGCGAGATATTGGCTTGGATTTTAGTAGCTGAAATACCATCAACTTCAACTTAAGAGCAGCATCTAGAGCCATCATCTTTGGTGGTTACGCAAAACGTAGTAATGCAAAATTCAACGAGTGATACGGGCTAAACGTCAACAAGAATTGTTCAAACAGCAAAACACTCACCCGCACATTTGGATTGGGGTTCGCGGCTCCAGTAACCACAGATGCCATCGAAGGCCTTTGTGGTAATCCGCCTGTTGGTGGGGCCATCACCTGTTGCATGGGTACAGCTGGACGACCCGCAGCTTGATGGCGTTGTTGGTTCGCAGCTGGATTCATCATT